TGTGTGCTAGCCATATTTTTTAATTACTCGCTTCTGGGCCTTTTCGTATGTTTTTCCCTTTGTTTTATCTAGAAAATATTTCACTCCCTATTGCCACACCACCCTCTTCCCTACAAATACTTTGCTTAAACCTAGAAAATCCCTAATCAGCTTTTAAGATTCACATTTAGGATACTTTTCTCTAAACAGGCTTTCCTGACTTTTTCAAATGGAATGAGGACAATCTCTCTACTTTTTGCTACCAGATTGTCCTATGCATATCATTCTCAAAGCGCTTGTACCATAGTTTATATTAACATTTTTTAGATTGCATGCCTGTCTCCCTCAACTAATCTATAAACATCTTGATAGTAAGGACCTCTTACTAAATGTTGTGTTCTCAGCAGAGTAAGTATGAAGTTCTTGGCACATAGAAAGTGCAAAGTAAATGTCTTTCACATGGCTAAAGATACAAAGCTAAGAAATTAATTTTAAAATCACATCATAGGAAGATAAATTCTGCAAGCACACAATGGTTGATTTTTACAACCTGTATGTTTTGTCCAAAATGAAAAGTGCATGTGGGTATATGTATATGTCTATTTGTCATGTCCCAACTCAAATATTGGGCAAGTTAATTCACTCTCATAAACTTCAGTTTCCATCTCTCTAAAACTGTCAAAAAGATTAATTATATTATCTGTTTATAGGATTATTGGAAGGTTAACTCAGTTGATTCCTATAGTGAGGGAACTTAGCAAGGTGCTTGTATTAATTTCCTATTGCTCCTGTAACAAATTACCACAAACTTGGTAGCTTAAAAGGTAGCACAAATTTGTTATCTTAGAGTTAAGAAGTTCAAAATAGGTCTCACTGGGCAAAATTTAGGTGTTCCTTCTGCAGACTCTAAGAGACAATCTATTTTCTTGGTTTTTCTAGCTTCTAAGGCTTCCTGTATTCCTTGGCTTGTGGCTCCTTCCATCTTCAAAACAAGCAATGGTCCATTGAGTTTTTCTCACAGTTCATGACCCTGACACATACTCTCTTATCTCCCTCTTCTACTTATAAAGACCCTTGTGATTATATTGGGCTCACCTGAATAATCCAGGATAGTCTCTTCATCTCAAAATTCTTACTTTAATCACATCTGCAACATCCCTTTTACCACGTAAAGTATGTAAAGCAGAATATTCACAGGTTCTAGGTTTTGGGATGTGTCATCTCTTGGAGAGCATTATTCTCCCTACCACAGTGCCCAATCTCTTCATTACAAGGAATCAGTAAAGTTTGACTTTTATTATTATTAGAATTATATAATATTTCTTAAATATCATTAAATTGTTTTTTTGGCTATATAGCTGAAACACTTTTGAGCCAGACTATCTTAATACAAAGTGACTTTCTATTAATAATTTAGGATGAAAAAGCCATAATTTTCTCACTCCAAATTTGGGTTAAGTGATTCACTTCTGAAAATTAGCCATTTTGTGATACTGGGATCCACTTATAGTAAAATGAAATTGATATTTATCTGAGAGTACCTTAGTAGCCCTAAAGAAGACAATTTTATTGTGATTACCATCAATGTGTAGTAATGACTAACAGTTATGGAGAACTTAGTGCCAAGAGCCATTCGAAGTGTTTATATAGGTATTGGCTGATTTGATCCCAATGTTGTAGGACTTCTCCTTAGTTCAGCTAAAAGCTGGGTTCTTGTTACACAGTTATGAAAGATTAGGCTCACAGACACTTTGAACGGTGAGAAAACTGGAATTTATTGGGCGAAAAGGAAAAAAAAGGGAAACAGGGATTCTCAGCAAAGTGGGACTCCTGCTAGCCGGTTTCCCGCCTCACAAATTGAGTCCCAGATACCACCCCGGAACAGGAGAGGCCAGGATCCACCCCTCTGCAAACGGTGTGAACCTTCTGAGGCTCCACCCCATTGTGCGCTCCTACCAGTGCCAGACTAGTCGGAGGTTCTGCCGGGGAGCCATTTTTATTTGGCTGTCTCACCACGGCCAGCCCCATGAACAGGTGTTTTATTTTTCCATCCTTTTACGGCAGTTGAGACTTTGTCCAAAGTTTCAGGGCAAGTGGTAAAGATGGGATTTAAACTCAGGTGGTCAGGCTGTAGAACCTGTACTTTTAACCATAGCGCAATAAACACAGAAATGTAGAAAAGAAGAAGGCAGTATTAGAAGAAAAAATACTCTACTTTGGGCTGATATCTCTTAGCATTTTTATAGCTCATCATGATACAGGTTGAAAGCATTTAGTTTTATTGAGTTATAATACTTGCACTTAAAAAAAATGCATTGTAGACAACCGTGTTGGGACTTGGTCAGCTTCCAGAGATACTTGAAAACAAGTTGTCCAGTGAGTTCAGGCTTTTAAAGACATGTCCTTTAAGTTTATTCTCTCTCTCTCTTTCTCTCCCCCCAAAATATACTTTGAAAACATTAACTACAGTGCCTCTCAAATATTATCTTTCTCTTTATTCTGCCAAATTGCTTTCAATACATAAAGCTTAAGAGTAATGAAGCTGCCTTTTTAAAAGAAAGTTGTTATCCAAGTCAGTGTTTTCTTAAAAATGTCAATGTTTCAGAGGACTTCTTAGGATAAACAGATGTTATGAACACTTTATTTTTATTTATTATTATTATTTTTTGAGACAGAATTTCACCCCTGTTGCCCAGGCTGGAGTGCAATGGTGTGATCTAGGCTCACCGCAACCTTTACCTGCAGGGTTCAAGCAGTTCTCCTGCCACAGCCTCCGTAGTAGCTGAGATTACAGGCGCCCACCACTACGCCCGGCTAATTTGTTTTTTGTGTTTTTAGTAGAGATGGGGTTTCACATCAGGGTGGTCTAGAACTCCTGACCTCAGGTGATCCACCCACCTCGACCTCCCAAAGTGCTGAGATTATAGGCATGAGCCACTGCACCCAGCCAGATGTTATGAACACTTTAAACACTGTTTGGTTAAAATGATAAAGGAAAGATTATTAATAAGGCTAATTATTACCAAAAAGGAACAACTGTTGAAATATTTTATATGACAAGAAACTCATTATAAGGGAATTACTTGAGGATACAACCGTGAACAATTGGCATTTGCTAAAAGTATGTTGACAGAACTGGATTCCTACTCACAGGTTCAGCAAGATTAAGTACATCAACTTAAGGGCCTATATATTCATTACAACCACAGTAGCATAAATACCATCTTATGGAAAAAATCTCTTTAAGCCAAAAATAAGGAAGAGAGCAGTTAAATGGATGTAAGTAAAATTATAGGTCATTGATTAGTAAATTATTCTATATGGATGAAATACATTTCCTATAGTAATTAAGCCTATCACATTTATTTTGATTAGGATAAATTGTAAATCATTTTGAAAATCAGTAAGAATTAAATGAATTCCTTCATTTTACCTACTGCATTGACTTTTACTCATGATCACACAGACAGTTTGGAGAGCATGTTACCTGCAATACGTCATCATGATTTAGCTTTTATGCTTCAATGTTTTATTTAGAATCTTTTGGCAGAGGAAACTGTTGATCTCAGTTAGCTAGAAACAACTGCTTTTCTATTTTTATTTGTAGTTAATGTTTTCCAAGTGTCAAGCATATGTAGAGAAATTTTTTCCATACACTGATATTAAACATTTTATTTATATTTCTTTTATTTTTAATGGTCCTTGGGACTATTTAGAAAAGTGAGAGCCAATTAGAGCATTCACTGTAAATGCTTTTAGAAAAGAAAATCTCCCTTGGGTATTTCTATGGATGGGTCAATATCACATTTATTTATTTTCGTGGCATGCTCAAGTACAGTGCAATATTCTGGAAACAAAACCTGCTGTCTATTTTGACTGAGTTAAAAATACATGATCTCTTTCCAAGTTTTCAAAAGTTTCTTCCTAAAGACAAAGCAAGGTGGTTTTCAATAATCTTAGGTTTGGTTCTTTGTTTTGTCAATGAATGGATACCTTGAGAAAGTGGCCAGTTGATAATCTTAGTTTAATGAGTATGGAAAACCAAACATCATATGTTCTCATTCATAAGTGGGAGCTAAGCTATGAGGAGGCAAAGGCATAAGAATGACACAATGAACTTTGGGGACTCAGGGGGAAAGTGTGGAAAGAGGGTTAGGGATAAAAGACTACAAGTTGGGTGCAGTGTATACAGCTCATGGCATGTGCCAAACTTCGCGGGGTGCATGGGTGCATCAAAATCCCACAAATCACCACTAAGGAACTTACTCATGTTACCAAACACCACCTGTTTCCCAATAACCTATGAAAGTAAAAATTTTTAAATGAGTATTTCTTATTTCATATAGTTATATTTTTATTTTCTGGTCGAAGATGAAGATATTTTCTTCTTTTAGTTTGTGCTTTAAAGGTTTTTTTTTTTTGGTTCCTATGATACAAGTTTTGATAAATGTATGAGCCCTCCTATTTTTTATTTGCGTATTATGCATAGTTTATGCATAGTTTACTGAAAATTAGTGCAAAATGTAGGAAATAAGCTGATGGCAAGCACCATTGTGTCCTTTGATGACAGATACAGTGAACGATAGAGCACATGTCCTGGGTCCTGAGTAGCATACAATGACCAGTGAGATTAAGAAACTAAGGAAGCAGGAAGAAAATGCTGTAAGATTCACCACATTTTATTTGTGGTGAGTCTTGGGTGAGGTAGAATTGCCCTAAATTTTTGAAGCACCAGGAAACCTTGATAGGAGACTCAGTTTCTAAACCATTGGCTCATGAGAAAGCCATGTTTCATCACAGGGCTGTGTGATTTGTGGTAGAAAAGAAACTCTTGGTTTTGTGGTTGTCGACCCCAAAAAGGAGGTCATTGTTGTGGCTTTCATCTTTGTCTTTGTGTTTACCTGGTTAGAATGACATATGGGAAAGTAACTCTAGAGTTTTCTTAATGTGTTTAAAAATGAATACTTCTAGTAATGTTTCAAACATAGGATTTTTTGTTTTGTTTTGTTTTTGTCTTTCAGGAACATTACAAAAGGTCTATTTTAAATCAAATGGGAGTGAACCTTTGGTCACTGATGGTGAAATCCAAGGGTCCGATGCTATTCTTACAAATACAATTTATAACCAGAGCACTGTGATTTCTACTGCACATCCCGACAAGCACATTCCAGCCTGGACTACGGATGCTTCTCTCCCAGGGGACCAAAGTCACAGGAATATAAGTAAGTCCAAAGGTGATACATGCTAGAGGCTTTTAATGTCCCATAAGTAGGTTTTTAAGTTCGGCAACCAATCCTTTTAATTCACAATCACTTGCTGGTCACACAGGAAAATCTCCACTCAGTTTCCTGGTAAGCCTAGCTGAGTGCCCTATTCTGTTTGTTTGTTTGTTTGTTTAGACGGAGTCTTGCTCTTGTCACCCAGGCTAGAGTGCAGTGGTGCGATCTGAGCTCTCTGCAACCTCCATCTCCTGGGTTTAAGCAATTCTCCTGCCTCAACCTCTTGAGTAGCTGAGATTACAGGTGCCCTCCACCACACCTGGCTAATTTTTTTTTTTTTTTTTTTTTTTTTTGTAGTTTTGGTAGAGATGGGGTTTCACCATGTTGGCCAGGCTGGTCTCAAACTCCTGATCTCAAGTGGTCCACCCGCCTCAGCCTCCCAAAGTGTTGGGATTACAGGCGTGAGCCACTGCGCCCTGCCAAATTCCCTATTCTTAAACATGAAATGACATCAGCCCAGATGTTCAGGTAGGAATGAGTAAGAAATGAAAATGTATCGATGCCATTCAATATTTCTGAGGTCTGAAAATTTGCACTGCTTGCCCCAATGTAGTGGCATTGATTTTGTAGTGGTTCATCTGTGAAAGTTTGCACTACAGTTTTGAAGTTTTTGAAGTTTTAAGTTACTTATTTTGAGTTAATAAGTAAGTTAAGTCACTGACGTTGTTGTTGGTCCCTTGCAGGAGGACCCATCTAATAACAGGATGCTGAGTGATTTAATGGGAGCTATCCCCCTATTTCCTTTTTTTTTTTTTTTGAGATGGAATCTCTCTCTGTCTCCTAGGCTGGAATGCAGTAGCACAATCTCAGCTCACTGCAACCTACATCTCCTGGGTTGAAGCGATTCTCCTGCCTCAGCCTCCTGAGTAGCTGGGATTGCAGGCACGTGCCACCACGCCTAGCTAATTTTTGTATTTTTAGTAGAGACAGAGTTTCACCATGTTGGTCAGGCTGGTCTTGAACTCCTAACCTCATGATCCACCCACCTTGGCCTCCCAAAGTGCTGGGATTACAGTCGTGAGCCACTGCACCCAGCCCCCTATTTACTTTTGAGACATTCATGTTTTTTTTTGTTTGTTTGTTTTTGTTTCTGTTTTTTATCTTGCTTCCTTTTTCACCTTCTATTATTGGCTGTAAAGTTTATTTTATATATTGGTGAATGACCAAAAAAAAAAAAAAAAAAATCACACCTTGAGAAAAATGGCATGTGCCAAACTCTTCTGCATGAGGACAAAGGGAAGGATTTGTCAGTTACTGCAGAAGAAGAGCTGGGAGAGAGAAAAGACAGAAAGTGTGGACACGGGGCATGATGAGGTGATGAGAGGTGACAGATGACATGCTCTGGAATGTGATTCTACCTTTTGATAAAGTTACTGTGCTTCCAGAATACTCGGTGGGAGTGGATTTGTATGGAAAATGCCAGGAAGCTTCAGCTCTGATACAACCAATGCTAATAAAAAATAATCAGAGCACAGTACAGCCACTGCCAGAATTTTATCCATAGTTGTCTGGCCTCTTCATTTCTACTTTCTAAAACAAGGTTATGTGATTGAAAATTTCACAAAGCCCATTCACCCATGATCATTGTCTTGAGTGTTTCTCTCTCTTTCATGAAAACCCACAAAGGGATATCACATCTTAGGTCTGAGATGGTGTATTTATTTTTATTTTGAGCCAGGAAAGGGAGGATTAAGTTGACTTTTAGCTATCATAGTATATGTTTGCCAGTGTTTGAGGAAAAGCAGGATTATTCTATTTCTCCAACCCAAAAGAGACAGTTTGGATTCCACTGTTTCACGGAGCACCTATAGGTATTAACTGTTTCTTGTGCATAGTGTTTACCGTTGGTTCATATGGATTTGGGTTCATTATCTGACAGTATTTTTGCAAACCAGAATTATGCCAAGTTAAATTTATTTTCCTCATGGGTTTAATTTTGAGGTTTTATTTTTCAGTCATGTCTTAAGCACTTCATTATTCTTCAGAACAGTGGTTTTCATCAGAAGCGCAGAAGCAATTTAAACAAAAACTCAAGTTAATGTGGTTGCAATTACAGTAATTGTTATTTTCTTCTACTAAGTGCATTTGTCTTTATTTTGAAAGTTCCGTTATTTGTTAAGATTCAAACAGGATTGACAAGCACATGTCCTGAGGAGTAAAGAAACATGTGGTAGTTGTTGCTCAGATTGGAAGTTTGATAGAAGTCTGTCTGACCCGTTTGCTCTTCCTATGGCTGGAGCGTTGCTTGTGAATATGAGCATAGATTGACATGTAGAAGGAATCCAGGTGAAATTAGGACGATTAAATGGAGAAAGGCCAAAACCCTAGCATATGTGTCATTTGATGTTGTTAATGTACTTGACAGTTAGCATTAGTCTTTACTGCCTGGCCACATAGACTCAGTATACTGTCAATATCAACTAAAATTATTTATTGCAAGAAATTTGATAGCTTTCCATACATTTAAGTAATAGTGCAAGCCTGTGATTATAGAAGTTTTAGAGTTTTTAGGGAAGGTTTGAATATTTTCTCTGTGATCCTTATAATTAACTGATGAAATACACCAGACAGGTAATAGCATACACCATTTTTTTCACGGTGTGAAATTGAGGTTTAGAGAAATTAGTTGATGTATCCAGTATCACTTGCCTAGCAATTAGTAGACATGAAATTTTGATTCAGCTCTTAGGACTCTAAGATCAGTGCTCTTTCAAGGTTTTCATCATCATTTAATCCTATTGTTTTCTTTGCAGTAGCATTATTAAACAAATTTTAAGTTCTGGGAGAGAAGAAAGAGTAGACTTTTTTGTTGTTGTTTTTATTGCTGTATAGTCAATGTGTAATAAAATATTAGTTGAATGAATAAATAAATGAACTATAGTCATTTTAAATTTTAATACATAATTTATCACTTTTGCTAGATGTGCCTGATCACACTTCTACTACTTGATGTGTATTTCACCAATTTTACTTAAAGTCTCATTTAATGTCTTAGATCTGTATTAACACCTAGCAGAAGGTTTACTTTTATCCTCCTCTTTTATTATTCTCAAATTAAGATGTTATTTTCAATTCGTGGCATATGTAAAAGCTATTTAAATATGCTTCAGTCCAAAAATACAATGGTCAGACATTCTATTCTACCCAAATATCCTGGGTAGGAAAAGTACCAAGAAATAGTCTTTTCCTAAGACATTCTTCTTGGAGGTTCTTAATGTAATGCCAAGACATAGAATCCTGCATTTCGTAAAGCTTTAACCGGAATACCCCCTGTATTACACTGTGTAGCATAGTTAGGTTTTGTGAAAGTGAAATAAGTTTTATGTGATATCTGATACTTCTGGAGTTAACATTAGTTACACTTTGAAAACAAATTATAATGTGACAAAAGGGCCTATCTGGGGAGGGGGAGGAGAAGGGGGGAGGTCTGGGGAGGGGAGGAGAAGGGGGAGGGATTGCATTGAGTTATACCTGATGTAAAATGACGAAGTTGATAAGTGCTGACGAGCTGATGGTGCAGCACGCCAACATGCACAAGTAGACATATGTAACCAACCTGCACGTTATGCACATGTACCCTAGAACTTAAAGTATAATAATAATTTTTAAAAACAACAAAAAAAAAAAAAAAAAAAAAGAAAAAGAAAAAAAAAAAAAAAAGAATGTATCAGAGATGACCCTAGGTTTCTGATTGGCTCAACTAGATAGTAAGTAACTGGCTAATTCTGGGAATAAAATTATTCTAGCTGTTTATGTAGCTAAATCTAATGCAGTGCTTTTTTAAAACTACATTTAAATCCTGGAATTAAATCCAAGAGCAAATTAAAAAAAAAAAAAAAGAAAATAACAAGTACTACAATGTTGACAATGTTTAAAGGAGACACTATTGGAGATGAGCTTTTAATTTCTCAATCAATATTTACATTATTGCAAGAAATATATATGGGAAACTGGGAAACATGTGGTATAAACTTCCAAATATAATATCTATTAAAATGAAATATATACATATATTTAACCTGGGTAGCTAATGTTGTATAACATTCCATATAATAATAATGCTGTTTTAATAATAATAATAAAAAAAGAAGGAAAAGGCCCATGGTTAATGTTCATACTATGTTTCAGCAAGGAATTTTTCTAGGTTGTATTCTGTATCTGGGATTTTATTTTCACCATTTTTTCCTTATGTATTTTATAACTATTTAAATATATATTTAACTTTAAGGAAAGGGAAAACTTCTGCCAACCAAGACCTTTTGGGTAAAAGATAACATGGAGCACAATAAAATAACCTAGTAACTCTGATAAGAAGTTAAAGTGACAAGAGAGTAAATTCATGTGCTGAAAGCTTAGAGTGTTCTGTTCTCTTATCACATCTTTGATAACTAGATCCTAAATCTTCTATTTCAGATGAAAATGCATTATCCCTCTCATGTACTTTTCTAAATATCTGCTTTTTTGAGATATAATTCATATACCATAAAACTCATTCTTTCAATGTGTACATTCAGCAATTTTCAAATGTATCACAGTGTTGCATAACCATCACCACTATCTAATTTTAGAATATTCTCATCGTTGCAAAAAAAAGTCATATTCCCTGCCCCCTATTTCCCCTTTCCCTCAACTCCTGGCCAAAACTAATCTAGTTTCAATCTCTATGGATTTTCTTATTCTGAAATTTTTATATGAAAAGCATCAGACAATATGTGGTCCTTTGTATCTCCCTTCTTTTATTTTGCATGATGCTTTCAGAATGCATCCATGATGTAGCATTTATCAGTACTTCATTTCTTTTTAGTGCTGAATAATATTCCATCATGTGGCTATATCACATTTTCTTTATCCAGTCATCCATTGTTAAAAATTAGGGTTGCATATACATTTTTAAAAACTATTATCAATAATGCTTCTATGAATATTCATGTACAAGTTTTTGT